AGTATCTACAGAACTTCACCAATCTGAGCTATATGGGAGAGTGGCCAGACGGAAGCCACTCCTGAGAAAAAGGCACATGACAGCACACCTGAAGTTTGCAAAATTGCATGTAAAAGACTCTGAGATCATAAGGCAAAAGATTCTGTGGTCTGATGAGATAAATATTGAACGCTATGTCTGGAGAAAAACAGGCACAGCTCATCACCCATCTTACACCATCCCTACCTACCATGACGCATGGTGGTGGCAGCATCATGCTATGGGGATGCTTTTCAGCAGCAGGGACTTGGAGACTGGTAAGGATAGAGGGAACAATGAATGGAGCCAAATACAGGCAATTCCTTGATGAGAACCTGCTTCAGAGTGTAAATGACCTTAGACTGGGGAGAAGATTTACGTTCCAACAGCACAATGACCCCAAGCATACAGCCAAAGCAACGCTGGAATGGCTTCAGAACAAAATGTCAAAGTCTTTGAGTGGCCCAGCCAAAACTCAGACTTAAATCCCATTGAAAATCTGTGGAAAGACTTGAAGATTGTCGTTCACCGCCGCTCACCATCTAACTTAGTAGAGCTTGAGAAAATCTGTAAGGAAGAATAGGAGAAAATCCCCAAATCCACATGTGCAAAGCTGATACAGGCATATCCAAGACGACTCAAAGCTTTAATTGCCACCAAAGGTGCTTCTACAAAGTATTTACTCATAGCAAAGAGGTGTGAATACTTATGTAAATTAGATATTACTGTATTTCATTTTCAACACATTTGCAAAAATGTCTCAACATGTTTTCACTTTGTCATTATGGGGTATTGTGTGTAGATGGGTGAGGGAAAAAAATTATATTTACTCCATTTTGAATTCACGCTGTAACAGAACAAAATGGGGAATAAGTCAAGGGGTATGAATACTTTCAGAAGGCACTGTACATATCCATTAGAGCCACAGGGCCTAACAAACAAGATTAATGAAAAAGGAAGAACCACCCAAAACATTAATTGTTAATACATGAGTGATCAATAGTTACATGTACGCCTATATCAAAATTATGAATATGTTCACAGATACAGTGGCTTGCGAAAGTATTCACCCCCCTTGGCATTTTTCCTATTTTGTTGCCTTACAACCTGGAATTAAAATGGATTTTTTGGGGGTTTGTATCATTTGATTTACACAACATGCCTACCACTTTGAAGATGCTAAATATTTTTTACTGTCAAACAAACAAGAAAAAAGACAAAAAAACTGAAAACTTGAGCATGCAAGTTTCACCCCCCCAAAGTCAATATTTTGTAGAGCCACCTTTTGCAGCAATTACAGCTGCAAGTCTCTTGGAGTATGTCTCTATAAGCTTGGCACATCTAGCCACTGGGATTTTGCCCATTCTTCAAGGCAAAACTGCTCCAGCTCCTTCAAGTTGGATGGGTTCCGCTGGTGTACAACAATCATACCACAGATTCTCAATTGGATTGAGGTCTGGGCTTTGACTAGGCCATTCCAAGACATTTAAATATTTCCCCTTAAACCACTTGAGTGTTGCTTTAGCAGTATGCTTAGGGTCATTGTCCTGCTGGAAGGTGAACCTCTGTCCCAGTCTCAAATCTCTGGAAGAATGAAACAGGTTTCCCTCAAGAATTTCCCTGTATTTAGCGCCATCCATCTTTCCTTCAATTCTGACCAGTTTCCCAGTCCCTGCCGATGAAAAACATCCCCACAGCATGATGCTGCCACCACCATGCTTCACTGTGGGGATGGTGTTCTCGGGGTGATGAGAGGTGTTGGGTTTGCACCAGACGTTTTCCTTGATTTCCAAAAAGCTCAATTTTAGTCTCATCTGACCAGAGTACCTTCTTCCATATGTTTGGGGAGTCTCCCACATGGCTTTCGGCGAACACCGCCACTCTTCCGTAAAGCCCAGCTCTGTGGAGTGTACGGCTTAAAGTGGTCCTATGGACAGATACTCCAATCAAACAAGTTATTTTTTTCATTTCACTTCACCAATTTGGACTATTTTGTGTATGTCCATTACATGAAATCCAAATAAAAATCCATTTAAATTACAGGTTGTAATGCAACAAAAAAGGAAAAAAACGCCATGGGATGGGGGATGAATACTTTTGCAAGGCAATGTATCTATACAACTCCATTAATGATAAGCCAATCATAAAAAAGTGTATGCTTTGGTTCCTGGTGATGATAATTAAAATGGACACATAACACGTTTATATTATATTATATCACCATGAACCAAAGCGTACACTTTTTTATGATTGGCTTATCATTAATTGAGTTGTTATATAGATATCTGCGAACATATTCATAATTTTGATATAGGCTTACTTGTAACCATTGATCACCTATGCATTAAAGTGTCAATTGTAATTATAGCCTACTGTATGCTTCTCTCGATTAATCAAATCAATTAGCAACAACCTCCAAGTAGCCTAGCAGTGGCAGATATGATGAATGGATGGATACAGGAGCAGTGAATCTTTGATCTGTTCCCTTTCACCTATCTGTTGGATCTCCCTAATCAGACAGAATTACAGGGTTTAGTTGAGAATGGCATAAACACTTTTGCCACTCAATCAATCAAATTTATTTTATAAAGCCCTTTTTACATCAGCAGTTGTCACAAAGTGCTTTACAGATACCCAGCCTAAAACCCCAAAGAGCAAGCAATGCAGATGCAGAAGCACAGTCGCTAGGAAAAACTCCCTAGAAGGCAGGAATCTAGGAAGAAACCTAGAGAGGAACCAGCACATCTGGGACAAAGTAGCACGCCAAGGTAACACGCCCGGTGAAATCAAGTCATGGTTCCACAGATTTCTGACTTTCTGAAGAGCAGAGATGTTGTATTCCTGTAGAGTTTTCGATGGACATTGAAATGTGTAGCAGCATCTGAATCTACCAGCTTGTGTCCCAGCAGCTAGCCTGGTCAGCTTTCTACTGTTGTTTCCCCTTAGAAAGCTCAGGTGACCCTCCCATCACCAGCAGCAGAATGCCTTTCAAAGTCGCTCACTAAAGATTTCTCTGTAAACCTCCATTTCTTTGCACCAGGGATTTTCCTTTTGTCTATTTCAGTCTTGTAATTACATGTCCTGCCTTACCGGTCAAAGTAAATATTGGAGTGGAATTGAATTGAACAGGCCCAGCCAGCAGCACACTGCTTATTCCTGACACTGTTTCTATTTCCGTCCATTTTTCTCCCTTTGGTTGTCAGCCAGAGAACAAACTGTCTTATTCTATATAGATTATTCACTCTGGAGTGTAGGGCCACGGTCATATCTGTGAAGTTGGCTGTGTTTACACAGGCAGCCCAATTCTGATATTGTTTTCACTAATCTGTCTTTTGACTAATCAGATCAGCTCTGAAAAAGATTGGATGTGAAAAGATCTGATGTGATTGGTCAAAAGACCAATTATTGGAAAAAAAGATCAGAATTGGGCTGCATGTGTAAACACAGCCATTGAGGCTCCTTCCCTAGAGACATTGGACTCTTTTTTTAAATATGCAAGTTATTTATAAAGAGAGAGTGTGTTTATATGTTTTGTATTGATTGATTGAGCTACATTTTATCTCCATAACTCGGCGCTTACTATCAGTCCCAACCTTCATCAGTTAAATGTTTGGTTAGTCGTGTTTTAATTGGTATTGGCTCAGTTTTGCATGGCAGGTCACTTCACAGGTCTACCTGATTAGTTAATTGCTTAAGACACAGTATAAAACAGGTGTGTTCAGAATGTTTGATAGAGTCTGAAAAGATGAGAGGTTGGTTTTAGCACCTTTGAACTGCCAAGCCATTTAGTTGTTTTGTCTTGCTTATTTTGCACAATAAATTAAGTATTTTATACAGTTGTATTATCAGTGTACTTTTTAAGCCATTAAGTGGAAAGACGATGGCTGGCCTTGTCACAATATCTCTGAGCTGGGTTGTTGAGTAAAGCGTTAAAAAGTACATTATACCGGGCTCCTCTTACACCTCATTTCTTCATGTTTGCGTCATCAAGTTTCTTGGTAGCCAATAGCCATATTGTATTGGAGCTAACTTGAGTTTCCACCATTGACATTAGAAGGTATAGACCCTTTTCATATCACGACCATGTTGAATTGGATATGAGGCTGAGCAGACAGGATATAGCTGCTGTCTGAGGCCACATCATTGAGAACCAAACTTGAGAGCACTTACAAACTCATTAACGAGACATTAATGAGATACACAAGGGGATAACCCTATCCATTTTCCTGTACATAGACTGATGGATCGAGTGATAAATCTCCACTGTCATTGACTAATTAGGCCATTATACAAATGTAATTGTTTAATTACATATCATCAGTAGTTTACCTGGCTGTGTTATACTGCATTACACTTAAATCCCATAGGCAGATTATGCAGATGTATTAAACAAGCTTACCAGAACTCAACAGCACTCAACCTCCATTTTACCTTGTCGTTTTTCTGGTTAGATATTTTACTGTGGCATACAATGATACAGCATACATACAGTAAACATTCTAGACCTACTCTACATTTCACCTTTAGTATGCACACAGAGGCTTTGGTTTGAGTGCTTGCTCTTTCAATACATCATGCTTTGCATAAAGTGCTGGGGCTGCAGTGCTAATGTTTTCAAAAGGAGAAGTGTTTCCCTATGGGATTTACTGGGAGGAGCAGTGCTCAGTCTTCTGATTGCATCGTTGCCCTTGTGTGACATTTGATAGCCAGTGACCAGAGGTGACTACAGCTGGCCTGGAAGGATGGCTCCGTCGCTACACACTGAGGTGTCCTCAAATGACTAAACCTGTCACTGTAGTTGTACAGTAGTTGCATGTACTGTCCAACATAGAGAAAGGAGCATGTTGTTGCAATAATGCCTTTTCCAACCAACATTTTGGTTTGCTTCGACTACTGCTCTACAGCCATCTGTTTAATGCCTGACATGAACTTGTAACCTTACCTTGACTCATACCATTCATCTTTGAATTTGTGTGTTCCAGAACGTTGTGTCGAAGAGCGCCCTGCAGTTCCGGGGCAACGCCCAGCACGATGCCCAGGAGTTCCTGCTGTGGCTCCTGGACAGAGTTCACGAGGACCTCAACAACATCGTCCTGCCTAGCAGCAGACCCCCCAGGAAGGTAACCAACTTTACTTGGACATGCTGTCGTTCACTACATCAGTTACAAGTTGGGGATTATATCTCAGACAGTTGAATGATATTAGATATAGCCTATAGCCATGTCTGGTAGCATCGCTGCCAACTGTACTGGTTATGAAGCTTCTAGACTGTGGATTGGTACCTTTCTGTACTGAACAGACAGCATTGTATTTCCTCCAACTGTATCGTAATAATAATAATAATAATAATATGCCATTTAGCAGACGCTTTTATCTCAAGCGACTTACAGTCATGTGTGCATTCATTTTTATGTATGGGTGGTCCCGGGGATCGAACCCACTACCCTGGCGTTACAAGCGCCATGCTCTACCAATTGTGCTACAGAGGACCACCCATACGTCTGGATTGTATCCCCCTTTACTGCATTTCCATTGTTGTTTCTCCCTTAACTGTCAATTACCTGATTGTATTTACTTTGTTGTATTTTCTTTATCTCGTGGTACTCTCTTCGGCGTTAATGTGGGCTGTTAAGGATCTATCTCCTGACTAACTGCTGTGTTACTATATGTTGTCTCTCCTGACTGTCATCTGTCTGCTCGCTGTCTCTGTAGCCTCCGTTGGAGGAAGAAAATGTCCCTGAAGGATCCTCATTACCAGCAGCTGGCTCTTTCGTACAAGAGCTATTTCAGGCTCAATACAGGTTAGTCACTCCTCAAAAGAATCCTCTGATTGACACCCCACTGCACTCTTACAGAATATAGTTACGATAGATAGACACGTACTGTAGAAAGAGTAGACCCTAACACAAGTGAGTTAGCCAGTTTTCGAATGCTAATTTGACAAGTAACGTTTGGCTCGTTGTGAATGTAGTTTTTACATTGAGACAGGCAGTGCATTGTCAAATGTTACAGTGGTTGGAAGTGAATATGATATTTCTTGTCTCCACACAAATAGGTCCTCCCTGACTTGCCCTCACTGCCAGAAACAGAGCAACACCTTTGACCCTTTCCTCTGCATCTCACTGCCCATCCCGGTACCACACACTCGGTAAGACGATATCTAATATCTTGGTAAGGCAATATCTGATACACAAACAGTATACCCCACTACAAATTACAGAAAGACCGGGTCTTGTTCTGCTGTATTTGATCTCAACTTACAACAGAGTGTCAAACTTGGCAGTGATACACAGAAGGATGCCAGAGACAAACCACAAACAATGTAGAAGCAGGATGAGATGATGTTGTTCCTTGAAGCGTGGGTAAGATAACTCAATTGTCCTGTGTGTCCCTCCCAGGCCCCTGTATGTGACAGTGGTGTACCAGGGAAAGTGTTCCCACTGTATGAGAGTGGGTGTGGCTGTGCCTCTCTCCAGCACTGTGTCCAGACTGAGAAACGCTGTGTCCCAGGAGACCAAAATACCCTCTGAACAGGTACCATGTCCAATACCTTTGAAATCAAGCCTCAAAGTGTAAACATGTATACAGATGAACTGATAGGAGACAAGTGAAACTGTCTGCAATGAATGAAAATGCCCACTCTACTAAAAAGCAATCTTCAGCACTATTCAAACTGAAACATAAAATGTCAACACTATTACATTCAAAACTTGAGGCATTGAGTAGGTATTTAAGTGGTAGTCATGCTCATGCATGATTAAAGTAGGTGTTTGTTTTGATAGGGACTAAAGACCCTTGTGAGCATCTTCATTACAGAGAAATCTATTGTCTCAGCCTTCAACAATCCACTGTTTGTGTTTGATGTGTCCCCTAGAGTCATGATGGGAGGCTCAGATCATGTGATATTGTTTGCTCATCCTATTTTATATGGTCCTCTACTCTGTATAAATCCTGATTTACTGTGTATTAATGAATGTGTATTATTCAATCTTATGAATCTTACATGAATTTCATATGAATAAACCACTTCTTTTTGAGTTTTTGTAGCCCTTTACACTCGTACCCGTATACGAGTTGAAAAATGGCAGATTTGGGCACTGATAAACGCCTAAATTGGAATGCAGTGCTTGTACAGTAACCTGCTATACATGACGTCAGAGCTCTGGCTCTGCGCTTCAAAATGCTGTATGGGTTTTGACTGACAGCCGTTCTGAACTTGAGCACCTCGCGCGACAAGAAGTTGCCCCCATCCCTCCTGCTAATTGGGCAACTTTTGCGAATGTTTTGTTGTCTGGGAAAAGTGAGAGAAATGCTGTAAATTAAAAGGACTATATATTTTGAAAGATGAGACGTTGAGGATTATAATAAATACAGCTTTGATGGCATACAAGCAAGCCACTACACATTTCCAAATCATAAGAGTCATGTCAAAATCGAATCAAATAAAATTGTATTTGTCACATGCACTTAATACAACGGGTGTAGACATAACCATGAAACGCTTGCTTACGAACCCTTCCCACCGATGCGGATTTAAAAAATGGTAATAAAAATAGTAACACAAGACGAATAAAATACACAATATACAGTGTCAGCGTTTATTATCACTATGTTTGATGTACAGTTACAAGATGATATGGCGTCATACCCTGGGTTGTTCTAAACAGAATGAATCTATGTTTGTCTATTGTGAAGAAAATGTGCCGCGGCGCACGCACCTAAATGCACTCGTCTCCTTTCTATGCGCACCAAAATTATTATCTGTTTCCCTGAATTGCATTGTGAAAGCCTAACACTTTAATATCGTATTTTATTACTTAGCTAGTCATGTTCGCAATAGAACAAGCTTTCAAATGATGCCCACCTGACCCAGATTACGATTTATAATGGCTTGTTAATTGTGTGATGGCGGGAATGAAGGATTGTGTTCCAAACAAAACAGCTACAAGTGTGCTTGCTCTAGTTCCTCAACGGCACAGCTAGGAGAGCTCAAAACAGTACCTTATATACTGAACAAAAATATAAACGCAACATGTAAAGTGTTTGGTCCCATGTTTCATGAGCTGAAATAAAAGATCCCAGAAATGTTCCATACGCACAAAAAGCTTATTTCTCTAACATTTTGTGCACAAATTTGTTTACATCCCTGTTAGTGAGCATTTCTCCTTTGCCAAGATAATCCATCCACCTGACAGGTGTGGCATATCAAGAAGCTGATTAAACACCTTGTGCTGGGGACAATAAAAGGCCACTTTAAATGTGTAGTTTTGTCACACAACACAATGCCACAAATGTCTCAAGTTTTGAGGCACGTGCAATTGGCATGCTGACTGCAGGAATATCCACCAGAGCTGTTGCCAGAGAATTTAATGTTCATTTCTCTACCATAAGCCACCTCCAACGTCGTTTTAGAGAATGAAACTGTGGGTTTGCACAACCGAAGAATTTCTGCACAAACTGTCAGAAACCATCTCAGGGAAGCTCATCTGTGTGCTTGTCGTCCTCACCAGGGTCTTGACCTGACTGCAATTTGGTGTCGTAACCGACATCAGTGGGCAAATGCTCACCTTTGATGGCCACTGGCATGCTGGAGAAGTGTGCTCTTCACGGATGAATCCCGGTTTCAACTGTACCGGAAGATGGTGTCGTGTGGGGGAGCGGTTTGCAACGTTGTGAACAGAGTGCCCCATGATGGCGGTGGGGTTATGGAATGGGCAGGCATAAGCTACAGCCAAATAATACAATTGCATTTTATCGATGGCAATTTGAATGCACATAGATACCGTGACGAGATCCTGAGGCCCATTGTCGTGCCATTCATCCGCCGCCATCACCTCATGTTTCAGCATGATAATGCACAGCCCCATGTCGCAAGGATCTGTACACAATTCCTGGAAGGTGAAAATGTCCCAGTTCTTCCATGGCCTGCATACACACCAGACATGTTACCTATTGAGCATGTTTGGAATGCTCTGGATCGACGTGTACGACAGCATGTTCCAGTTCCTGCCAATATCCAGCAACTTCGCACAGCCATTGAAGAGGAGTGGGACAACATTCCATAGGCTACAATCAACAGCTATGCGAAGGAGATGTGTCACGCTGCATGAGGCAAATGGTGGTCCCACCAGATGCTGACTGGTTTTCTGATCCACGCCCCTACCTTTTTTTTTAAGGTATCTGTGACCAACAGATCCATATCTGTATTCCCAGTCATGTGAAATCCATAGATTAGGGCCTAATGAATGTATTTCAATTGACTGATTTCCTTATATGAACTGTAACTCAGTAAAATATTTGAAATTGTTGCATGTTGCGTTTATATTTTTGTTCAATGTAGTTTAAGACTCTTCTTTGAGTCATAAAAGTGTATTGAAATTATTTAGGAACTGTGCACACTTTGGAGAGGTGTGTGGCCACTTGGAGACACCAGTTAGTCCTCTCACTCAAACCCTCTTAGTTTATGTTGCACCTACCCCACATTTTCCAGGAATACTTTTTATCATGTTACTGAATATATCCAGAATATTTTCAGATTTCATTATGAAGAAATGCGGCGAAAAGTACAGTAAATGTAAAATGCACATAAAATCAATAGTGTAATGTTTGGATTCAGTCTTGTGTCAGGTGAACTGTTGTGTCCTCACCTTTGGTCTAGTAATTGTCCCATAATCTCCTAAATGTTCCCTTTCAATTGCTACCGTGGTTATGCATATGCTTTTCATATTTCTTCTGCAAGAAACATTTCAATTTAGCCCTATCCATATAGGCCAATTCCCACTAGTGTAAAGGGTTACACCTTTGTGAGACCTTCCTCTATGCTGGCCAAAATGTTACTAGAGGTCCAAATCTTAATTGTATTTAATGAGATTAACCCTATCTCTGTTAATGATCCATATGTGTGTGCAGATTGTCCTTACTGAAATGTACTCCGATGGCTTTCACCGCTCCTTCTGTGACGATGATGACGACCTTGAGATCATTCAAGAGAGCGACTCCATATTTGCCTTTGAAACACCTGAGCTGTTTAGACCAGAGCAGATCCGCTCTCAGCGAGGTATGACTTCATGTTATGATTCCCCGTAAATCCGTATAGCTCTGGGCCGTATTAAGGCGGTAAGAGTCTAGATTAGATTACAAATGGATTAGCAATTGGATTTAATTGGAAATCATGTTTAATCTGGATGTGATTACCTATGTTCACCCTCACTGCATATGCGTGTACATTATCTTTGGGAAACATGTATTTGATAGCCCAATAAGAACTGGGTATACAGATATGTGTCCCTATTCCAGAATCCAACATATTGCGCTGGTTAACAGCCTTAGTCAACACATTTGCATCTCACTGACCTGAAGCAGGCTTTGATCTTTGACATCATTAAACCTTACGATAATGTGACCGCAACCACAGCTTGGGTAGTTTCGATATAGAACTCAAAGTTTGTTCATACAGTGCTGTGTATACATTTACAGTATATACTGTAATGTGTTGCAGGAAGTCCCCATGCTAATCTGAACCAGAACAACTTGAAGTATGGGACAGACAACAACAGGCTACAGGTGTCAACAAAAATGGAAGAGTCAGTGAGTCCCCCTCTGAGCCCCAATAAGAACAGCGGAGCTGACAAGATCATTCTGCTGGTGTGTAACAGAGCCTGTGCTGGACAGCAGGGACGCAGGTACACAAAGCAACTCCTCAAGATTTCAACATTAAGCATTCCAGTTTAATATGGTCAAGCAAAGTAGCACCGGGAAAATAAGATCTCGAGGAACATGTTCATACAGTGCAGCTGAAAACAAAGTTGATATAGTTATGATGGATGTGGAAAATCTTGTTCTTCACCTTGACGATTCTAGGTTTGGTCATCCGTTTGTGCTGTATCTGGAGCGGACTGTCACCTGGGACATTCTGCAGAAGGAGATCCTGGAGAAGATGCGTCACCTTTTGCGTCCTGGGGTCTTTGTCCAGGTAGGTGCAGGTTATCCACACAGACACTCATTCAACACAGACACACACACACACACACACAGCACACACTTGTACACGGTGTAACTAAATGTATTGCCGTCCCTCAGGTTGGGCCCTTCAGTTTGCGTGTAGTGGGGGTGGTTGGAATCACGTATCTCTTACCTCAAGAGGAGCAACCACTGTGCCACCCTTCTGTGGAGAGGTAATATCACCCAGCGCCACCAGAGGGCGCTTGTCTCTCACAGATAGAGGACCACTAGCAAGAGTTAGCATTAGCATTGTGGTCAAACCTTCAATGACGTGTTCAACCTTTCAGTGTGTTTAGCCTTTTGTTCAACCCTTCCATGGTTTTTCACATGCTAAACCTTCTGGGTTGTTGTTCCATATGTAGCGTGCCCTGTTTTTCCACATTGAGCTGTCATAGGGCTCAAAGATAACATTGTATTGATTTCCTATTGATCCAATGTTTGTTTGCAGAGCGTACAAATCTTGCGGTCCAGGAGGCCCCCCACATGTCAAGATTGTGGTGGAATGGGACAAAGAGACAAAAGACTAGTAAGTGTAATGAGGCAAAAACCACTATGCTGAGAGGGAAAGACACTCACCTCTTTCATCATGATCCAGTGCACACATTTAGCATTGACTAGCACTCACTGTTTCTCTTTGAAGAGAATGTGAATGTGAATGTTAATTCAAAGCGATTGATGTGACTGAGGTCTCAGAAGTTTCCCTAGTTTCTGTTTGTCAACACAATTTGATATAACTTTCATGGTTTCCTTTGAAGCTTGTTGTGTGACCTCTGTGTGAGCTGTGTATTTCTTATGTCTGACTGCAGTCTGTTCAAACGCACCGAGGACGAGTACATCCCAGATGCTGAGAGTGTACGTCAACAGAAAGACGGACATCTGCAGCCTCAGACGTGCTCCCTCGCCCAGTGCTTTCAGCTCTACACCAAAGAGGAACAGGTACGTGTGCCTGTGTGTGTGTTTGCGTGCACATTCATTTGTTTGTGTGTTTGAGAGCTCTGCTCTGTGTTTCAGCTTGCTCCAGATGATGCCTGGCGCTGCCCACACTGCAAGCAGCTACAGCAGGGCAGCATCAAGTTGAGCCTCTGGACCCTGCCTGACATTCTTATATTGCACCTCAAACGCTTCAGACAGGTACGGTACACTACAGACCACTGCACTATACGTCAACATCATTCATACAACTACATAATCAAAGTGTATAAGCTCAGTTAGCATTATATTACCTCACGAATAAATTAAAAATAGTATTTAATTCAAAGTACACTTGTATAGATTATATTACTAGTGAATGTCAACACTGATATTGTGTTAATTCTTACACGCTCAGTCAGCATTTTAAACTCAATCAATCTGCATTAGCATAGTTAGCATTCCACACTCAACCAACATAATCAAATCTGTTGCTGTGCGTGTGTGTATGGTGTCCTCTCAGGACGGAGACCAGAGGATGAAGATGCAGAACATGGTGAAGTTTCCTCTGATCGGGATGGACATGGCGCCCCATATGGTCAAGCGGAGCCAGAGCAGCTGGAGCCTGCCCTCGCACTGGTCACCATGGAGACGACCTTACGGGATGGGCCGCGACCCCGAGGACTACCTGTATGACCTGTACGCTGTGTGTAACCACCACGGGACAATGGCGGGAGGTCATTACACAGGTTAGCTAACGACACACACGTATGGACACACACTCTAATATGTTCCGGCAGCAGTAGGGCTAGCAGTTGACAGGGTTGCTGACTCAAATCCCAATGGGGTTACAATGCTGTTGTGCCCTTGAGAAAGCCACTTACTCCATATATGTCTATCAAAAGGTGATTGGAACCCATATCCCTGCTCTTTTTTAGAAATTCAAATAATTCAAATCCACTGAATTATCCAGATAACATGATTATTGACTCTTCATCCCATCCTTATTGTGTTCTCTTCTGCAGCTCACTGTAAAAACTCCATCGATGGCATGTGGTACTGCTTTGACGACAGCGATGTCCAAGCCATATCTGACGATGAAGTCTGCAAGCAGAATGCCTACATACTGTTTTATCAAAGACGGGCCACCATCCCATCATGGTCTGCTAACAGCTCCGTTGCAGGTAAGAAAATATCAATTTGTTATTAAAAAACAATTTAATTCATAATTCTATGGAATGCAACATTTTTCAAGCAACAAGATGCAACAATGTCATAGATAGTACAGGGCTCCAGACTAACTTTTTCCCCTGGTGGCACCAGCCCATGATTTGGTCGCATCAAAAACAATTAATGGCGTCACGCAATAGAAAAATAAGTAATCATCATGTTCATTGATAGTGCTTTTTTAAGAACTGATGCAGTGCCTTAGACCACTACGCCACTCGGGAGTCATAGTTTTGATGTCTTCACTATTATTCTACAATGTAGAAAATAGTAAAAATAAAGAAAAACCCTTGAATGAGTAGGTGTGTCCAAACTTTTGACTGGTCCTGTGTGTCTAATATATACATGTATGATGTATATAGTGTATATATACATAGAGTATATGTCCTTTGTTTACTCCTCCCAGGTTCAACCAGCTCATCTCTGTGTGAACACTGGATCAGTAGGTTGATGGGGAGTCGTCCTCCCAGCCAGGCCTCATCCGGCTCCTCCAGACGCACTTCGCTGGCCTCCCTCTCGGAGTCGGCCGAGTTCGCTGGGGAACGCAGCGAAGACGATGGTGAGAGACAGCCTCTCATCCATATTTGTCAAGATGTTGCATTTCTGTGATATCAAATATGTTTTCACAACGATAGTACTTTGAACTAAAATGGATACAAAATATATAGTTATGATGACACTGCAGGCCTTATTTATACAGTAGCCTACTTTCAGTTGTTTTTGCAAAGCTGAAAAATCTGTATCGTTCTGTAATATAATTATTTAATATCAGACTTTACTAGCTTGAAACCCACTCATAAAAGAGGTGATGAACATGCACTCAGTCTATTCAACTCCACTTAGTTGTATCTCTCTGTCCCCTTCTGTTGAGGAGGCTTCTCTACCCGCCCGGCGGTGCGGAGCATCCAGAGACAGACCTTCTCCTCTCGCTCCAACATGGCCAGCCCTCTGGCCCTCAGCGAGAACGGCTCCAAGCCCTCCTGGTCCCTCTCCACCAAGCTCCATCTGCGCTCCAACTCTCCCTCGCGCTTCTCCCTGGAGTCCCACTCCTCCTCGCCCACCCTTGAGAGGATAGGCGAGGCGGTTGATGACAAGGTCTCCACCTCCTGCTTCAGCGGCTCGGCGAAACCCGAGGTAAGGGCCGGATGTAAGACACCCCTGGTGGTGGTGGAAGGTAATGCAGTGGCTAAAAGGCTCCTGGAGCAGGTGCACTCCAAGGCCGTTCCCCAGGCTGAGCTGAGGAGCTCCAGCCCGGCAGGGGGTAACAGTAACGTAGCCACGGTCGTGGAGCCAGGCAGCCCGGGTCAAAGAGTGATCGCTAAGGAGCCTAAACAACGAGGAGCAGGGGGAGTGGAGGGCGCCGGGGCCAGGAGAAACTCGGCGAAGACTGTTGAGTCTGAGAAGAGCCCCAAGAAGCACCCGTCCACCCCCTCCCCATCCCCCTCCCACACCTCCTCTGTGACCCACCCATCGTCACCTCCTCGAACCCAAGCCAAGAGCACGGCGGCCACAGCCAACCCCAAAGAAAAAAGCGAGGGTGCAGTCACCAAAACCAGCAAGACCTCCTTCGCCAAAACAGCCACCCCCACCAAAAAGGAGCCGTTGCAGACCCCAGAGACGCTTCACCCTGAAACAGCAAAGCAAAGGAAGGGAGGCTCCCCCGGGTCCCAGAGTTCCTCGGCACACCTGCCGAGGAAGACTTCGCCCAGAGGGACGGCGGAGAGGAGCTCCGCATCAGCGAGAACCAGAGCAGCCGAGAGGAGCGCCAGCCGGGAAACGTCACGGACCACCTCAGTGTCAGAGAGGGGGGTGAACCACGGTGGTCCCTCCTCCAGGGCCAGTGGTGTGTCTCGGGGAGGGGAGGTGGGTGCTGCTGGCCGGGGCGAAGGTAGGGTGGGGCGAGGGGCGGAGAGCAAGGCTGTGGGAAGGAGCACCAGCAGCAGCTCCTCCATGACCAGCCTGCGATCGTCCAGTGTGAGCGTGGCACCGGCAGCGGCCTCAGCAGCGCCGCCCAGGGGACCTTGTAGGAGCAGCAAGACGGAGGAAAAGGGGCTCAACTTCTTCAAGAGTGCCCTGAGGCAGAAAGAGACACGCAGGTCCACGGACGGGGGGAAGCCTACCACAACGGCCAAAGCAGGGACAGGCGAGGCTAAAGGCAGCCCAGAAGAGGGGGCTGGGGAGGGGACTGGAGAAGGGGCGGGGGACGGAGCAGCCAAGAGTACCCAGCAGGGGAACCCAGAGGCCCAGATGAACGCACCCTCGGCCAAAGAATCCTCCAAGACATCCAACCCTGCCAAACACTCTATACTGTCCTCCGCCAAGTCCAAGTCTTCCGGAGCAGAGACGGGCGGAGTGGAGAAAGCCTCTGCCAACGGGAAAAAACCTCCTGAAAAGCGGTTGCCGCCATCTCGAAAGATCCCCATCAATTCTTCACGAACCACCCAGAAGTCCAAGTGAAATATCTTTGGGGAACCCAAAACAATCATTGTAGTGCAGCTCTAAGGTGTCTCAAAGATCGAACTGCATCTCCTCTTTGGGAGCGACATTTGAAAAGCACCTCTAGCTTTTCGTTGGCCCCAGATGATTGCAAGCTGCCATACCTGACAGTCTGTCGCTGTCCACTTTATTATATAGTTATTTAGGAATGGATTGAAACAAAGCCCTTTATGGATTGCATTGTTAATGCTTTTTTAAAAATTTATTTTAATCAAATGGATTATTATATGAACTGCACATGTAATGACATTTTTACCTGGTTCGGTACATACTTTGACAAGGTTCGTCTTGGGCAGACGTCGAAATGAACTTGTGTAGGGAGCAAGTGCATTTGTTAAGCAGTGTAAGGATGAGAACCTGTAAATCACACAATAGATCACACATGGACTACTACTCAGTCACCAGAGGTAGTTAACAAGCAGTGTTTTACATCTCTGACTTCTTTGTACTTTTCAAACTACTGGGTCCACTTTCAAATAGTTCAAAACATTCCACACCAGGCAGAGTATCTAAATATATGGAGCCATGAAACAAACACCAGTACCTATTATAATCCCAGTTTAATAGCTAATTAGATACAGTATAGGCCAGTGTCTAATCTCATATTAAGAGCTATCAATGCAGGTACATTTGTAATCCCAAATTCACTGGTATTAGTTGTACAGTACTGATAATCCCAGTTTGAGCAACTCAAACTCAATTGGTAGAGCATGGCGCTTGTAACGCCAGGGTAGTGGGTTCGATCCCCGGGACCACCCATACGTAAAAATGTATGCACACATGACTGTAAGTCGCTTTGGATAAAAGCGTCTGCTAAATGGCATATTATTATTATTATTATTATTCAACTCCCAGTATGATAACATAATCCCAATTTAACATTAGTGATTGTGTAACAACATTTTGCCAGCCTATGTAGGACATTAAATGTATCCAGGACTAGAGGTGTGTATACCTGCCAATAGCATTAAAGGGACCCATGAGAAATATACAAAGAAGGTGACATCGCTCAATGATTTTGGAAGGTTGGGACTGTGGTTCTGCACTCTCCCTCTGGTTGTACTGATTTTGGAATAGTATTGACATCATAGTGTGACATAATGTCCCCCCCGAGTGCCCTAACAACCCCACTCACCTCTGACCCGGCTGGTGACCACTGTCACTGCGGGTGGTCTAGGCTTTACGGGGGACCACATTCAGACTGCCAGACATCTCGAAACATTCCTTAAGATGAACACAGGGTCCATGTAAAAAGCTACACTCAAGGCCATCAAAGACATTGCTAAAGACAATACATGGGGACGTCATTATAAGAGCACCATATATGGTGTGTTTGGATCCACCCTATCCTCTTCTGTTATTCTCTGTTTCATCACAGCTTGTGCCTGTGCACATTTTGGCTTATGCGCTACCGAGCAGATTTCCACGTAGAATGCACTGACGTAGATTCAGAAAAGTGAACGCCATGATGAAATGTATGATAGCAATCTGCATGAAATTGCTTATGCATGCACTAAACTATGCAAGCAACACTTGCTAATGTCCACACAAGTAATACTGCTACTTTTGGATGTGTATATATTTCTAACTGTATATTTTTCCAAATGCCTGCATCAGAGAGCATGTTTAGGCATCATTCAATGCTTTGTTTGCACATTTTCTTCAGAGTATAATACATTTTTTTTTAAATGAATTATAGGTATTGCTCATTCACCTTAAAGTAAATCAACTCACTTGCGAATTAATTATTTCTGCATTGTATTCATTTGACTCATGTTTGATTCCAAACCATTTAAGGGACACCCTACCCCATAGACCTCTGCAACCAAACATCTAATAACTAAATCTAAGAAATCAATTTGTAGACAACTGGTATGATTGTGAAATGTCACTTTGTCATGAGAGTAGGTGGTTTTAGTGACCGTATCGCCAACTAGTTTATATAATTCATTCATTGAAATAGCCAAAGACAATATACAAGATTATTTTCAGTGGAATTCTTTATGAACCAGTGTATTTCTAAATACTGGGTCTAGCTGTAATCTCCCAGATGTTTTTCAAAGTGAGATAATACAGGGGTGACCTTTATCGATCTTTCTGTTTCAATCAGCAGCACCTCTGCAACCACACTGCCTTCTGTTGCCTTGTTCAAAATCTCCCTTTCCAAGGAATAACCATTAAAATATCAGATATATACTGAGTGTACTAAACATTAGGAACACCTTCCTAATATTGAGTTGCACCCCCTTTGGGTGGTGGACCATTCTTGATACACACGGGAAACTGTTGTACGTGAAAAACCCAGCAGTGTTACAGTTCTTGACACACTCAAACTGGTGTGCCTGGCACCTACTACCATACTCCGTTCAAAGGCACTTCAATCTTTTGTCTTGCCCGTTCACCCTCAGAATGGCACATACACTGATTGAAGTGGATTTAACAGGTGACATCAATAAGGGATCATAGCTTTCACCTGGATTCACCTGATCAGTCAATATCATGGAAAGAGCAGGTGTTCCTAATGTTTTGTACACTCAGTGTATGATATATTTGATAGATTATATGAAATTGAACATTTGCTGATTTCAACTATTGTAAGTCATATACTTTTTTCAACCTCGCAATTAGCTGTTGAAATAACGGATATCTTCCCCTCCCCACCCCTGCACCAAGTTAAAATCAAGAGTAGAATGATAATGATGATTTTAAATAGGGAGGCTGTTTTGTACTGGAGCACTAGCATTGGTGGTCTACATACAGTACAACATAAACAACATGATTATGTTCAAGTGGAATGGGACTTCAATAGAGTAAAATGCAAGTCGTTATTTATTTTGGACAAGCGCGTGAGTGTCAATTCTTTTGACTTTTTTAGTATCCACTTTTAATGACTCAATTCTGAAACGTCATTTTTTCATATTTTTTAAGGATTCATTACTTCAAAGGGAGAAAGCAATGTTTGTATATGTCATTTGTTTAGCAATGCAAGAACAAAAATATGTCATATAATAAAAAATAATTGTTGATTTATATTTCTTGATTGGATTTAGTTTTTAGTTTTGTTTGTTTGTTTAGGATTGCAGTTCTGGTTTCATCCACTTGGTGGAGCAAAACATTTCCATGACTCCAAATTCTACTGCATGCCAGTTGATGACTGGGAAATAAAGTAACCACAAAATAGAATTTGCCCATAAAATCGAACTTTGAGTGAATCTGCCTTTATCAAGACATATCATTCTGTCCAATCGAATGTTGTCACTGAGGGGGATGACAGGTGGTGTATTAAACTACAGAGCCATCATTTATTTATAGCTGATTGAATTATGGATATATTCGTTTTGCCCAAGGCTGAGGGGGTATTAAGAGTTAATATACCCTCTTTGTCTCTTTTTCCATTGTAATTTTATCTATTTCAGGATTTTTTTTGTGCTCTCTGTTTCCACTTATTTCTCTCTCCGAGGGAGAAAAGTGATGAAATCCAACCTTCAGATGAAATTGCTTATTGGGGCTACAACAACTCGGCCTATATTCTTCAAACAATCTCGTGGCCTAGGAATTTGGAACATGTCCATCAAATATCATTATACTCTATATCAATATCATTTCTGATCTACCAAATTGGAATAGTGAAGAACTTGGCTGCTGTGGGTCATATTTCTGTTTTGAAAGAAAACATCTGGTTTGCTTTTTAAGCTTGCTGGTTTTACTGTCACTGCCCCACGTAAAAATATTTAATAATACCGCTTATCTGTGTAGAGAGATAACAGAGATGCGGTTATAATTATACTACTCATTCATTAGTTATTCATTTACTAATCTTATTTATTTGCATTTTTTTTTCATTTTTTTATTAAGTTATTTATTTCACTATTCCAATTTGTTGCCAATTGTGTCAGGTCTAAGGGAACCCTATTAGCGATACCTAAGAGGAAGAGTTGTCGACTTTTTATCTTGATTTAACACCTAAACAACGACAATATCTCGCTTGTCTTCTGAACATAATGCGTTTAGTGTGTTGATTAAGGTCTAGGACTTTGCTTTTCCTGGGTTATTGCCCCGCAAATTCTAGACAGGCAATCTCATTTTATTGATCAATCTTCTCTGGGTGTCTCCTGGGGCCGACTTTAATCCTTGATACTGCTGCTGAGAGACTCCATTTTAAGACACTCTCGATGGATATAACTCCTGAAACGTTACTAGGGTGGGGAATAAAGACGGCAAGGGGTGGAACAGGCTCTTGATTAGCGGCCTACGCAGTTGTACCAAGATGCATTCCACTCTCTTGTGAGAAAGGCATGAGTTTGTAAGGAGGCTGCTTGGATGCTGGTGAATTTGTAAAATAAGGTTTATTTGGTCCTATGTATCCGGGAAGCCTTCTCTCTTTATATTTCTCTTTAGGCCTCTCTCTCTAGGTCATTGATCAAGCTTACATCTACTGGTAACAGGATATTGTGCAAACCATTGTAACAGTAGGCCTATATCAGGGATGGGCAACTTGGGTTCTCAACTTACTGTTGAGAGTTAGAATAATAGAATACAAAAGGTGTAATTTCGAAATTTGGATCATCAGCAATCACTCAATTAGTCCATGTCAGGTAATTTGTTTTAGATTGGTAAATTAGTCTAGGGGCCAGCTATCTACATTTGTACACTGAACAAAAATATAACCGCAACATGCAAAGTGTTGGTCCCATGTTTCATGAGCTGAAATCAAAGATCACATACATTTTCCAGACACACAAAAAGCTTATTTCTCTCTAATTTTGTTTACATCCCTGTTAGTGAGCATTTCTCCTTTGTCACGATAATCCATCCACCTGACAGGTGTGGCATATCAAGAAGCTGATTAAACAGCATGATCGTTACACAGGTGCACCTTGTGCTGGGGACAATAAAAGGCCACTCTAAAATGTGCAGTTTTGTTACACAACACAATGCCACAGATGTCTCAAGTTGAGGGA